CCCGGGACAGCAGGGCTGGACTTGCCAGGTCTGGCTTATCGCTGACGGCCTGAACAAGCCCAGTGCTTGTCACCCGCCGAGCCCCTGGGCAGGCAGCCCGGAGCCGTGCCGTGCTCTCTGTGCCCGCCTTGTTCCTGCCACCCAGCCCCTTGCTGACAAGCTCTATTATGCGCTATCATCTTTGCGTGTTTGTTTAAAGGCTCTCCCACAAGAACGGCCTAAAGATCATGTCCGATATCTCCGGTGGGCTGATGGTGCTGGGTGCTGGTGGTGTGATCGCTGTCTGCCCCTGAGCAAACCCGCTGAGGCTCCCCCCGCGCCCAGATTTCTGCTATCCGTGTGCTTCAGGGGACTCAGCTGGGTGGGGACGTCCCCCTGAGGTCCCTGGGCTGTGTGCTTGCGGCCCCACAGCCTCTCTGGGCCAGCCCAGGGGGGTCACCCAGGGTCCCACAGAGCCGGCTTGGTGGGGGACAGTCGGTCGGGGAGCCCCTACTCACCGCAGGCTTTGCTGACGCAGTAGACGGACGGCACCCAGAGGTTGGAGGAGCCCGTGTCGAATATCACAGTGAAGTTCTGAGGAGGGGTCCCGATGGAGATCTGCCCGAAATACTCCATCTGGAAAGAGCGGAGCCGTGAGCTGCCGGCACGCCGAGAAATCCTGGCAAAGGGGAGCCTGTGCCCGGGTGTCTGCAGAGGGGTTCGGGGCGGGGGGGGGTGGCTGGCACCGGGACAGCGTTTGGTCTGTCATGGCCACATCGTGCCAGGTGAATAAAGGAGCCAGATATTTAAGGAACAACAAGGCAAGCTGAGAACAACAGGGAAGACAGTTGGCGTGGGCACCATCCTCTTCCTGCTGGGGTCAGCGGGAAGGGCAGGCCCCGAGGGGACCCTCATCACTGGGATGTGGCAGTGGAAGGGGCTCTGGGGACAGGACCCTCACGCTGTGGGGAATGGGAAGAGCCTGGGGAACACCCGCCACCCCCAGCTCCGGGTCCTTCATGGTGGGGGTCTTCTCCGATGCGTGTGATACGTGTTTTGGAGGAAATCTGTCTGCTGGCCACGTGCCCGAGAGCACTGCAGGCTCGGGGAGCGCAGCGGGCAGGGAGAGGGCTGGCAGCGCCTGCTCTGAATGTGCTCCCTTGTCCCCTCTCATTGTCACATTCCTGGGAACAAAGGACCAGGCAGGAGCAGGCAGGCAGTAAGCCCTGGCACGCTGGGCCACGGGCTCCGTTAGCCGCTGTGGGCTTTATGGGAAGCATCTGGGCATTGGGGACCACTCATGGAAACTGATGTGTTTTGGGGTGTCTGTGGCACGCTGCTGGGACTCGGCACCCCCTAGCCCTCCGTGCCATCACGCTTACGTCCAGGTAGTTGATGAGGGGCTCGTTGGCCTCCGTGAAGGCGTTGCAGTCCTCGCTGTACTGGACCATGTCGAGCCCGTGGGCTTTCCAGAAGTGGGAGAGTTGCCCACGGTCCCGCAGCAGCTTCCGCAGGGAGCGGTGCCGCACCAGGTTCACCCTGGGGGAACAAGGGTCCTGGTCACTCGCCTGGGGTGTTGCTGATGTCCCACAACCCCCATCTCCGCCCTGGGGGTCCCAGCACCACCGGGATGCAGGTCCAGAGCCTGCTTCCCTGCATCCCCCACTGCAACCCTTTCCAGCCGAGGCACAGCAAAATGAGGGGACTCAATCTGGTTTAGGAGAGCAAATGGAGGGCGAAGCTGGCGGGAGGTCATGCACGCCCCAACGCAGGCCTGCTCGTGGTGATGGGATGGGCAGGAGCTCAACGTGACTGATGGAAAAGGACCTTCAGGTGGGAGGCGGGACCAGGGCCACGGTGAATTCACGTTTTCTGCCCCATCTGCTTGCCCAGGCCTCGGCTGCGGCCGGCGGCTCATCTGCAGCCCTCGGCGCAGTGCTGGGCTCTGCCCAGAGGGATGGACACGGCCACGGAGACGATGGACCGACGGGAGCAAACCAGCAAAGTCACCACGTGTCCCCGCACGCCGGTGTCCGTCCCGGGGAGCTCAGCTCTGCCCGGTCACCGCTGCCGCGCTCGGCGCTGGCAGGACCCCGGGAGCGCAGCCTCTCTGAGAGCCCGGGGAGCTGGGGTGCACTCTGGGGACCCCCTTACCTTTTCAAAGTGCTGGCCAGGGAGAGGCAGAGCACGGCGAGGAGGAGGAGGCGCTTCATGTCGGCAGCAGGGCTGGGCTCTGCGGGTGCGGGCAGCGCCGTGGCGTTGTTCTTATACCCACAGGTACACCCTGGCCCCGGCGCAGCTGCGATAACACCCCTTTCAGTGTCAACACAGGGCTTTGGCAGCAGGAATGAATCACTGGCCACGTCCCAGGCGAGGCAGAGCGAGGGCACCGGGGTCACGTTTGGTTTTGTGGGCGAGGGGCTGGTGGCGGTGGATCGGGGCGGCACGTGGGGACCTGCAGGGCGCTGGGCAAGGGGGGCTGTGGCGGCTGCTTTTGGGGGCAGCGAAGGTTCCGTAGCAGGAGCAGGATGAGGTCTGCACCCCAACACCGGCTCCTGATCCACTGGAAATCACAGAGCCCCCCAAAATGCTCCAGGGGAGCGTTTCCCCTTTCCATGGGGTGCCCCACACCCCTGCTGCTGCAGGGAGGTGCAGGAAGAGGACGTGTTTGTAGCGTGAGGCAGCTGCTGAACAAACTTTAAAAGGTAAAGACTAATTAGCAGTGATGAACTGTTCAGGAATCTGCAACTTTTCCTTTCAAATAGCAGTCAGTGCCATCAAAGCACGGTCGGGAAGAAGCGGCTTTGGACGGGAGACAGTTACATGTCGCTTTACAGCCGCTAATGGGCTCTTCCCCAGTGGCTGAGTTTTGTTTAACCCAGGACGGCCGTCTCATTAAGCCCCTCTGAATGCAAATAAAAAATGCTGGTGAACAAATAAAGCCTTCAGATCCGGAGGGGAGGCGAGTCGGGGGGAGGCGAGGGTTTTTTCTTGCTGCCACCATCTCTCAGACACGCGGCCGAAGGTTTGTGATGGTGCCGCGTCGCCTTTGGGGCCGTTTCCCATGTTGATGGCTCTGTTCATGTAATTAACGGGGTTTCTACCCTTACCACTGTGCTAATCAATTTTCCATTTATCCTTTTTAGTCTATTTTATCTAATTGAAGTCCTCGCCCTGGGAAATTACAAGTCCCTCTCTGCGAGGCACAGCTCCCAGCTAATGGGGGGTGGCCTGAGAAAGAGCCGAGCTGTGTCTCCTGTTAGTGGCTGTCTTGGGTCTCCATCCCTGGGAGATGCTGCCGGGCTCCTCCTCTCCCTGGATTCGCAGGGAGCTTAACCTTAAAAAAAAAATATCTTACCAATGGTTCCTTGGGTGTGAGCGAGGAGACGTGGGGCACGGTGGAGTCGATGTGCATGGCAGATGCAGCCACTTCCAACAATTCGGATGCAAATTCCCTGCATTTCCCCATGCCCGGGTTGGTAGCTGCAGTATTTTTCACTGAGTAGCTTTTATGCAAAGTTATCATCTATTTCCCTTTTAAGATGCAGTTTAATGTACTGGCCTCCCTTCTTGTCCTAATCATATATTCATAGAAGGGATTTAAAAAAAAACAAAACCAACCTTCCTAAAATAAAAGCAACTGCAGCAAGTGCCAGATTAGCTGAAAGCAGCAAGTCGATTGTTATGGACATGGTTTATAACCTGAAAATCCTGTAAGAAAATCCAGCCTGAAGGGTCGTTGGGCTTCCGAGATAAACGTGAGCATGAGCTGTGCTAAAGAGAAGGGAAATAGCTCAAGAGAAATAGTTTATTTAGTGGAAAAGATCCCCAGCTGGATCATAATAATCTTCAAACTGATGACAGGAGATTCAGCGTTAACAGAAGAAGACGAAAGAAATAACGAGGCCAAACCTTTCATTTAGAAATTTTTTGAGGGGAAGCCAATCTATTTCTACTTTTGTCGAGTTGTTTTAAAAGTAATTTTAAAACTCCAAGCTCCTAAAGGTAAATCAAAATTTTTATTTCAAGTCGAACAAATTTTTTTTTTTTTTTTTCTCTCAGCACCCGATGGAAGACTCAGTTGCATTTGCCCAGAAAATTGGGGGGAAAAAAAAGGCTTTGTTTCATACTTCCAGCTGTACCTCGATTTTGCAATGCCCTGCACACGCAGGTGGGAGAGCTGCAGCGTTTTCAACACACGGTGCCCCTCACCGGGGCACAGGGCAGCCGTGGCACTGCCCATCCCTGCCTGTGCCTGGGGCATCCGTGCTGTCTTTACGGCGGAGAGAGCCCGGAGTGACGGAGTTCGACGTGCAGAATTATTTGTAAGACTGGGGGCCTTTGAATCCGCCTTGTTAATAAAACGGCAGAAAAAGCGCTTACAGTCAGTGGAAATGTAACGCAACGTGACTGCCAGCTACTGGAACGTCCCGGGTCTTGTACGGAATATCCAGCCCGTATCCAGCCCTGTTCTGCTCCCAGGCACCAGCTGTCGTATCTTACCCCATCCAGCTTCACACGCTTGCCCTCAGACACGTTAGCAATAGGTTATAGACCTTACACGGAAACCATGCTCTACTCAGTTTAAGCCCTGCTTTCAGGCTAAAAATAAGTTATCTGTGTTCTTTTTTTATATATTTCCTTTAGTTTTGCCACTTTCATGATTAGCTCTGACTGATTCAAATCGCGCCCAAGTAACGTTTTTCTGAAAAGCCTTTTTTTTTTTTTCTCTTCTCTCTTTTTATCAAATGCTTCTTCCACCTGTTAATCTGTTTATACATCACTGAGCACTTGAAAGAGTGAAACCCTGCAATAGCAAACACTCACTTTAAAAAAAAAAAATTAAATAAAACCAAGCAAGCTTCAGTTAAATATTTACCCGTGGCACAGAAGCTGTGGGTAGAGCAGGAGTAAAATGTGATGGAGCTGATGGATGCTGGTCCCTGCGCTCCCAGGGGATGGGGGGAAAAGTGGCAGCGACTGGCCCACGACGGGGACCTGGCAGGGGACCCCAACTCACGATGCAGCTCCTGGGAGTGAACCCCGACGGCGCTTGGCACCTGGGGGTAAGTTGTGCTTTGCAGGCGCTGGGGGATTCACCGAGATGCTGGGATGTTATCTCTCCGGGAGAGGGTTGCTATGGGAACATGGGGACGATGGGGATGTTTAAACGCCAGCGAGCACCATCCCCATGAGCCAGGGACCTTGTGAGAAGGGGGGTCCCTCGCTCCCTGCCCATCTCCTGCCCGGGAAGAAGCACAAGAGAGGTCGGGCTGCCGCGGGGCATCCCCAGCACCAAACCTCTGCTTGGTGTGAGAGCTGCAAAACCAACTCCGCAGCAGCAGTGGCCCCACACTCCCCCCACACTCCCCCCACAAATCTGCTGTGAAGCGACGGGAGCGGGTGTGCCAGCCTGCCGCTTGCACCCCGCTGTTACTAAGCGATGCTGCAAGTTACTACTGACCAGAACATTTTCCCAGAAAACGGGCAGGTAGAGGGAGGCCCATTCGCTCCCAGCAGACACCAAGCCATGCCAGGCTCTGGGACTGCGTCCCTTATGATTTGAAATGTTTTATTTAAAATGTGTAGAAGTAAATTTAAATGTAAATTTAAAATGTGTAGAATTCTTTTACTTGGAAGCACCCAGAGCACTTTTTTTCAGTGGCAGCTGAACTGCTTGGGGCTGAGCCAGCCCTGCTGCTGCCGAGCAGAGCTCTCTGCCCTTGGGGACCACTTTGCTCCAGCTTCATTTTAGCACAAAACTGCTGGAAAATGGAGCAAGGGCCCCCATCTTGTCAGAGCAAGACACCTCCCAGGAGAGTCGCCCGGGGCAGGGGGGGATAGAGCATCCCCAACCCTGGATCAGAAGCGGGTGCAGAACAGCAGAGAAACACCCAAATATATTTAAATGAGCCGTTTGACAGAGGGGAAGCGTCATGGAACCTCATGTGGGCTCGTTCCGGCCATCGCCATTGGGGTAGAGCGAGACCGCATCCGGCACCGAGCTCTGCGCTCCGGACCCCTGCGGCTGCGCGGCCACCGAAAATGCTGCCGAAACGTCCTTAATTCCTCCTGCCCCCAAGGCCCCGGCTGCCCCGGTCCTGCAGGAAAGGGAAGGCGCGGAGAGCTCTGCCCCCCCAGGTAAAGCACCGTTGGATTTTGCCCTCCACCGGCCCGCGGTGCCTCGGAAGGCGGAACGGTCGTTCGTCGGAGGGAGAGCTGGGTTTGGTGCCCGCGTCCGAGGGATGCCCGCAGGCTTGTCGCACCCAGCCTGGGCTTTAGCCTTCATCTGGGGCAGCAAGGCCTGACTCAAACGGGATTCCAACAATCGGCGGCGTTCCCCCTGATTTTGCGTACCTTTAGATTGAGAGCAGGCGTCTTAAAATCACTGCTTGGTGTCTAGTCACGGAGGAGCTCTTCACGAGCCTCGACTTCAGCGGGGCATCTGGCTTGAGAAAGGGTTAATATCCTGGGGCCTAGAGGGAGGGAGCCTCACAGCAAGTTTACTGATACGCCAAAAAAAAAGTACGCGTGCTGCCAGCATCTTACTGGCTGTTATCTTCAAAATAGATATTTCAATATGCGTATGTGTATCATCTCTTCGATCTCGCCATGCCCCATCTCGGCGAAGAAGCTGCCTGCTGCTGATATTTGGATTTGGGTCTTATTTTGCAATTTCCTTTTGAACAGCTCATTTTTCAGATTGTTATCAGCTGCAGCAGCATCTCTTGCCCCGCAATAGGAAATGAACCATTTAAGTGACAGCCATTTGAGGGATATTTGGGGACAGATCAGTTCAACAAGGGAGGGGGAAAATTCCGGCAAGAAATGGACTTTTAGCTTGGCAGTTGCCAAACTGTTTGGGTAAGTGGAGTTTCGCAGGAGATTGATGGGGCTATCGGAAAGACTTTTGATGAATTACTCTGGGCGATGTGTCACAGAGGAAATTATAGAATCTGATCCATAGGATGGATAACGCCTCGGCTCTGACTATCAATCTGTCTATCAGTCTATCGGACATATTATTATGGCTCCTTGAATCATCGTATCGAAGCTTTAGCTGGAGATACCTCCCTATGTTAGCCGTTTATAAACAGTGAGCATAGAGGCGTTGAGTGAAAATTTAAAGTGATTTTTTGCAAGTGAAGCCTCACCAAATGAATGCCCCCGATTGCTGTCCATTATCATAAATCTCTTCAGTATCAGGGATAAAAGTCGCAAGCCAAGGGGCCCAGTTCAGGCTCTGCTTTTTCTGATTATTGTGCCTCATGTCCCCTTGACTGCAACAAGATTGAAGCGCTCGCTTAAAATTAAATCCAAGGTGCTTCAAATGCAGAGGTGTTGAAGGCCCCCCCCGGTCTTTCTGCCTGGATCTTGACTGATACAAAATCCTGACGCCAAACCTGTGGTGTTCTTTTTGTTATTTTCTTCCATGTTTTGGGTTTTGGTTGGGGTTTTTTTGTTTGTTTGTTTGTTTGTTTTTTGTTTTGTTTTTGTTTTTGTTTTTTCCAGATTATACTTATCAAATTTTTTTTTGTGGGTTAAAAAAAAAAAAAAAGAGAGAGAGAGAGGATTAAAGCAATCTTTAAAGCAATTTAAAGCAATTTAAAGAATAGATTTCAGTTCTTGTTACAATCAGCGCTGCGGTGGAGCCCAGAAGCTCCAGCCCCGTATCAGATACGACCGAGGCAGCAGCTTATAGAACCATTAAGCTCAGTGATAACGGGAGGGAGAGTCTGTGGCTGGGTGAAGGGTGTGAGAAGGACTCGCACCGACAGCGAGGGGGAAGCCTGGGTGCCTTTATTTTACATCCACAATGTCAACCCACCGCTTGCGAGTGGCGAGCCTGACCTTCAGGTGATGTGGAGCAGCGCGAAGCTCAATGGGACCATTTTGGTTGATCGCCACCAGGGCTAGCTGCGTCTCTCTGACACCCCCGCCGCCCAACCCCGAGACCTCCAACGCTTCGC